GATTTAGTGTTCGTATTTTTCATATTCTGGAGTATAACTTCTCGTTGTAAGATCACTAATCTTTCTGCAGTATGATTTAATAATCCCTGTAATGTGACTTCTGCTTCATTTTCTTGAATCTTAATTGCTTCCTTTGGAGATCTACATTCGGATTTAGCTTCACGCACTTCGTTATAACTTGGCCAAATATCTGCACCACATAATTTTGTCCCCAAATGCATATTTGTGTACACGTTTTTGGATAAAGAGTTGTCTAACAAAACGGCAAGGGCTTCTTGAGGTGACTTTTTAGTAAGTGATAATTCTACAAACTTTTTTTAGTTTTATATTACGTTTAGTTCGTAAAGTTGCAAGAGAAACCTTTAAACGACTTATTCCATTTGGGCAAGCATCCTCTAATCGCACATTTAACTCTTTGAGGATATAATTTAAAGCTTGTGACAGATCACCCTCACCCGAAGGGATATTATTGAAAATCTGACGCTTTGTGAATTGACACATGGTCCACTGAGATAATCTTTGTATCAAATAATAGTTACTTAATAATCTTTAAGCCAATATAATTTAAAATAAAATACTAATTTAACTCAAAAAACAATACCACACTTCACCCCTAAAGGTTTGAAAAGACAGTATAATCTCATGATCGCACTATGCAGTGTCCACTAGTAGCATGGAATATTTTGGAAATTTTTTAACTTTTACGGCAAAAGTAGCAAAAAGTAGCACATCTATCTCAAACTATACGTTTCAAAGAGTGCTTAGAGACCTTGACCGACTTTATAGGAAGCGGAAACTAGGGGAAAAGTTATTCCGAAATGAAACATGTCATTTACGATCGCAACAAAGAAAAGAAAATAATGTCTAATCAAAACAACTGAATATGTAACTGTTTGATTTAACTGTTAATTTTAGCTCTATTGATGTTGATTAGTAGAAAATTTATGTTTAGAACCTAAAAATCCAAGTAAAAATAATTAAAACAGACATACTTTGATGTATAAAAGGTAAAACAAAAATTTTGAAAATTGAAGATGTAATCGAGTAGTGCTAATACAATAATATATTATTTGACAAAATATTTTGGATATTCGTAGCAAATCTATCTCTGAAAATGATTACATAATTGTCATCTATCAATTTAAACCTTGACTTTTGGCCAGTTTTGAATGCCTTCTGGCCCACTGTGGAGCATTGGGAAATAAGGCTATGACTATAAGACGACAAATTCAGCTAACGATAAGTGTAGGAAATGAGGAAGTAATTTTTTCATTTTTGGTTGTACCAAGTCTATCATCACAAATTATTGCTGGTGCTGATTGGCAGTCCCATTTTAAAATGATAATTGATTTTGAAAGTAAAATTATAAAATTTAACGGAATTAATTTAAATAGTGAAGAAGTTTCATTCCATTCGAAACCGGTAGAAAAATCTATACGATTATGTAATTTATTGGTAATTAAACATGATTTGTGGTATCAAATTAACGAAAATTCCGGAGGTAAATCAGAAAAACAAAATATTTGTAATTTGGGAAATGTGTATAGAGAGTCACAAGAATTAGATTCTGAAATGGGGGATCAACATTATGAACAATCCGTGTCGAATCCGTGAAGACAAAATCATTTTATACAGATCTAGAGATCGCAGATGTTGAAAATTTTGAGGAGGAAGTTGAGCATTATATAGATAAGATTAAAATATTAAATGATGAGCAGAAGTGTATCGTTCGCGAATTATTGATGGAAAGTCGTGCGGTTTTTTCAGATAAACCCGGGTGCACCAATATATATGAACATAAAATTCGACCGATGCGATGAAAGATAAAATAATTGTAAAAAAATCATACCCAATTCCTTATAAGTTGCAAAAGTCTGTTGATGAATGAATCGAATATATGGAACGTTTGAAAATAATAGAAAGAGCCGAAGTAGAGTTTTGTAGTCCGTTGCGAGTCGTTGCAAAGAAAGGCGGTAGTGTGAGAGTATGTCTGGAAGCGAGATTTGTGAATGCGATAATTAAGTCGGATAATGAATCTCAGGAAAAAATCGACGATTTATTAAGAGATGATGAAGGAATAAGATATATTTCAACTAAAGATTTCGTGAACGGATATTGGTAAGTGCCTCTAGCGAAAGAATCGCGAAAATACACGGCCTTTATCCATAATGGAAAGTGTTATCAATTTTGTAGAATTCCATTTGGCCTTAAAACTGCGGGTGCAGGGTTTATTCGAGCCGTAAGTTTGGGATTGGAGGATCGACTGTTGTCTCGTATTAAGGTTTATATCGACAATTTTTTTTATTGCATCGGAATCGTTCGAGGAGCACATTGAATTATTAAATGAACTTTTTAAGAAATTGATTGAATTAGGTTTCAAATTAAGTTTAAAAAAGTCTCGGTTTTTCTGTGATTCTGTTAAGTTTTAAGGAGTGATCATTGATCAAACGGGAGTACGTGCAGATCCCGAAAAATTACAAGCTATTAATGATTTTCCACCTCCTAGAGATAGAAGGCAGTTACAGGGTTTTCTAGGGGTTTGTGGGTTCTCGAGACGATTCGTCCGAAGTCATGCAAATTATATCGCACCTTTTCGAGATCTTCTCAAACCTCATACAAAATGGAGCTGGTCTGAAAAACACGACCAAGCTTTTTATGAAATAAAAAAGAATTTTATAAACTCTTGTTTTATATCATGTGATACCAAATGAATGTTCAGATTACAGACGGACGCAAGTGATGCGGGAATAAGCGGTGTTTTATACCAGTTGGACGATGAGAGTGAGATACGAATTACTGCATTGATTAGTCGCGTTTTAACCAACGTTGAGGTTCGATACACGGTCACGGAAAAAGAATTGTTGGCAATCATTTATTCATTATTAAAATTCAGACGATATCTTCTGGGAGAGCAATTTGAGATAGTAACCGACCATAAGGCGTTTCTCTTGAATACGCCTTATCATAATGCGCGATTGATGAGGTGGGCATTGTTCGCCCAGGAGTAATATTATAAGATTTATCACTGTAAGGGATCGGATAATGTTATTGCTGATTTTTTTAGCCGTAATTTCGAAAATGAAATCGCGAGCCTGTGTAAAGAAAATGCATTTTTCGTACGTGAATTAGTGAAATGTTGCAAAGGGAAGATTCATCCATGGATTTCAGAAAGGAGAATGGGATTCTGTATTGCAAATCCATGCATAATCTAGAATGGAAATTAATGATTGCTAGAATTTTTGTATCATCGCTACTGTCATCGATTCATGAGCAATTGGGACACGCGGGTGGTCAAAAAATGCAAAAATATATTGAAAATTTTTTTTATTGGCGTTATCTTCGAAAAGATGGGAGAGCGAATCATAACGAATTCGAATTTCGTGCGCAGTTGTGATCTTTGTCAGAAGACAAAATATATTAACTATAAAATGGAAGGTACATATAATTTTGTGAGTGTCTCGGGACCTCATGAACTCGCGTCGGTTGATTTTTTTGGTCCTTTTCCGTCTTCAATTGTCGGATTGAAGTACATTTTTGTCGTTCGGGATATTTTTTCGAAGAATGTTCCTTTATATTGGTCTTGGTACGAGTAAAGCATTTATCGAATGCATCAAGGAAAGTAACATCAAAGATGTTTCATTTGTATAAAATTAGTCGAGATGTGAATAATAATGCCTTCGTTCTGTCTGATATGTCGGATGAAAGTTTAGTCGTGGGAACATACAATCGATTTTTGTTAAAAAGGTATAATGAGCGTTCCGAGGTGAATTTTTAGTTGATTAACGAGCGATCATATCCTGTGGTGTGATGACGCAAAAGTTGTAATTTTTCATAAATTGGTTGAATATTAAGATGGTTTTGCTGATTGATCATTCGGCTGATAAAACTATGAATATGTCATAAAGAAATGCGATGTATGAATTGTAAATTATAAACGAAATCCTAATCGAATCGAATTATATCGATTAGTTTTTAAGTAATTCATTTTTTCAAAAACGGTGCTAAAATGTTTAATTGTTTATAACTATTGATAAAATAATTTTTTTTCCAAAATATTTATAGGAGTTGTTTCTACTATTATTTACTACTAAATTAAAAAGTTTAGATAACAATGGGATAACCTTGGTAATTCGTTGATACACTTCAGAAAGCTTTACCCTTTTTTAGACTTCATTTTTTAATAATTTAACGCAAAATTATGTATTTTTCGGAGAACAGCGTGATTCCTAATACCTAAATTTTCTATCATCCCTTAAAATTTTAGATGAAAATCTTTTCACATTTTACAGTAAGATGTACACTACCTAAACATATTTTCCTATACTAGGTCACGTGGGAGGTTCTCACATACCCTTAATCAATTTAATTTGTTTCGAAAGTAATTTCCTTTCTAATAAGTTTTTAATAATAATTGTTTGGAAGGAGCGACTGTAACTCCATTTCTAAAGTATATGTGAGTTTTTAAAGAAATACACTTTCGTTTGGAAACATGAGTTTGCCCTTCTATTCATAGTTTTACATTCTCAATGCTTGTTTTCTTATTTTTATAGTTTTCGAGTTCACTTGATTCTTTCAGCTCATGTATTTTTTTAGAAAGGACCCATAAGCCAAAGAAGTTACTTGTAGTTTATGAATACCTGCTCAAGATTTATATAGTTCTTTTTGTTAGTTAATTTTTTTAAATTAAAAAAAAGCGTCAATTTTTAAAAATATTCTATTAAATTCTATTAAACGTTTACCCTTTCTAACATTTGACGTTTAATAGCTAGATTCCCCAACGAAGGGCCCAAGATTTTCTATTTAACCCCTTCCCACATGTGATCGTCCAATCGCTCAACTCTTACTCCCATCTTGGTCATTTCCGTCCGTGCGTCCTATATACTCAAACGGTTAAACAAATTAGTCAATAATTACTTATATTTTCAATTTGTTTACATTTAACTTTAGACCGACCCTAAACATTGGTTTAAGAGGAACTTAAAAAATATTAAACTACAAACCTGAGATAATTTATCCTGTATTGCAAACTTATTTTCAGGATCAATATAAGCTATACATTTTCTTAAAGGAGTTTCAGCTTGAAAGACAATTGGCTCTCTAAATCCAGTAACTTCTAGTTGTTGAAATTTTGCTAAACTGCTACTTCCATGAGCACACAACCATGCTCGTAGAGGAGAAATTCTCCTGTTTCTCTGAAAATTATAATAAAACAAAATAAAATTCGGTATTGCATTTCATAAGTTCTTACAGTTAATCTGCAGTCAAATAATTTTTTGTCATATTACTGAAATATTTTATATAAATATATTTTCTATTTATTTATGTATTAAATATTAAATGATAGATGTTTACTGTAAAAAATATTTAATAAAATATTATTTAAAACCTTAATTTATTATTAGAGGTGTTCTCTTTTTTAACCTAAAATGCGTATGTCCTTTTCTCAAACGAAAATATGATGTATCCCCTTTCCCCTAAATCGTCTAAAAAAATATTACATATAGAAAATAAAATATATAATTACTTGTGATGAGAACTCTTCATCTTTTAAGGCATATAATAAGTTCATAGCTTTGCAGTCGCTATGGCCACAAACAATAACGTGCCTTATATCATTGACTACACAACCTAATTCCAGAGCAGCTGGTTCACACATTGTTAACTCATCCAAAAAGTGTTGTGAATGTGGCACAATATTTCCAGCATTTCTCACTATAATTAAAAACAATTTTAAATTAAGAACTTTTTTATTTGTGATAAAAATTTGTAAAAAATGTAAAGAAAACCATATTGAACTTATTTTTTATGTTATCCCAGTTTTATATTTACACACGGGAAAACATTCTATGCAAGCGGTGCCTACTGTTGGTAACGCGCAGTACAAAATTCAAAGTGAATGTTGTCCATGGTGTGTGTAGCTGGCGCCTGAATCCGGGACTCATGCTATTCATGTCGTAGCGCGAGCGCTGTGTCGCAGCAGTGTAAATCTGTTTTCCACTGTACTGTAAATAGAGGCGTGATATCCCACTCTGAACTTAACATTCTGTCAGATTTTTTTTTCTTTTTAGAACAAAATGGATACTACAGGCAAAAATACACAAAATATGACAATATGACAAATCGGGACTGCAGCGCATTGGAACCTCGAGATTCATTCCATCTCGTGGAGGAGCACACCGTAGAGGTGATACCACTACGCTCCCCAGACCAGGGCCTACGATGTCAATAACTTTTATGACAAGTACAGAAACTCAAAATACATCGACCATCCAGGTAAAAAGGTCCCATGGCTCTACGACCCCTTCCTTTTGTACTAGTTGTATTAGCCCCCAGGGAAAGAAATCTAAGATTCCTTTCTTAACTCAATCCCCCTTTGTCCCTTTTCTTCTACACAATTATCCATTATTCACATGAGGTGCAATAGATCCTACAATAAGGACAATAATTTCTCTTCTTCTTTTAGTGTCTCTCATAACAAATTTAATTCAGCCCCATTTCAACTCCCTCCATCTTAAAATTCTACCGAGCTTTCATATCGCTATGAATTGATGTGGAACAATGATTCCCTTTCTGACGAAGCCAGATTTGATGAAAAATCTTTGAAAACATTTAAAATCTTAATTGAGTCTGTGTCTTCAGAGAGGAATTTAGGTAAATATAATCATGTAGCCCTCGCTGTACACTTAGAAAAGTTTGTTAGCGACTCTATACGCATTATAGTTGCTAATAGGAAAGATCAAATTATAGTTACCTCCACGTCTTGAAACTTAGCTAATTCTTTGCTTTAATAACACCACTTTACGTACAGAAGGCTATAAAGCATGAATCCCTCGATCTTTAATCAGCAGGAAGACTGTAGTCAATAATGTGGACATTGAACTTTCTCCACTCGACAGTAGTTCTAGGATCTTCCCTAATAACCCTTGAAATGCAATAATTTCAATTCGCCGACGCACTACTCCAGATAATTCCCTGTCAGAACAAGTTGATATTGTTTGTGTCGGTACTGTTACCCTTAATCCATTTTGATCTCTCGATTCTCTTTCAAACTTAATCTGGTTGTAACCCCCAAAAAAAATTTGTTACAAATTTCAGAGGTTCAGGCATTTTGCTTCACAATGTAGATTGTGTCGATCATCTCTATGCTCCAATTGTCAGGGCAAGCACATGGCCTCGGACAAAGTTTGTCCTAAATACAAATACGAATACTCTGTTATGAAGATTAGGCTTCTTAACAATGTCTCTTATGATCAAGTGGATACTATTCTTTTGGAGCAGGGAGTTGCTCTCCCGGGTTATCAGGATTTCTGGGAGAGAATCCCAATCAGATTGATCAGGGTGAACAAGGTGAGTTGTCGCATTCCGACCTTAGAGAGCGCTCAAAATCTAGAAAGTCAATTTCACAGATCGCCCTGAGCGTTTCTGAGACTGAAACTCAGTTCTATTCTACTGAATTCTGGTTCCACTCTTTCTCTGCCTCACTCGGAGATAGAAAAAGAGTACTACACCTTTGAAAGGTATTGTTAAATTGAATTTTATTTTAATATTTTTATCACTAACTTTTAATTATATTTAATATCTATTTTTATTTTGTTTTTGTCTATTTTTTTCTCTCTTTGAATTGTTGGGTTTTGATTATTTTAAATAATGACCTCTCTATACAAGAATCTTTCTCTAATACTCTGGAACTAACGTAGTATCTTCCCTAAGCCATGAGATGGAAACTCTTCTCAGGACACATAATTCGGACGTCGTATGTATTACTGAGACTTGGCGCTTTCAGAAAGTCACCTTTGAGCTATCGGATTACATCACTGTGATACAAGATCGTGTAGGCGGCAGAGGTGGGGAGTTACGATTCTTATTCGCAAGAGACTTGCTTTTCGCATCTCATATTCCTCTCACATTGATGTAGTAGCTTTGGTGCTCCTCACTATGTTTGAATCAACTCAGATTATTTGCGCTTATGCTCCCCCTGGTGGGAATGTATCAAGAGATTTATGGGATGAACTTTTTGAACAATTTTCTCACTTTTCAAATTTACATCTTTTGTGGTGATTTTAACGCCCATCACTCCTGTTGGGGGGAACAACTTGCTGACATCAAAGGTTCTTCTCTACTCACCTTCACACTACAAAGAGACTTATTCCCCATTAACTCACAATTTCCAACAAGACATAGTGATCCTGATGTTTCCAGTGGCAATCGCGATTGCCATTTACCATCCTACAGAATTCTACCACGATGCAGCGCGATGGTCCAAAATGATGTTTATTCGTCAGACCATTTCCCAGTGCTCCTGTTCTTGTGACGCCTGCAGTTAGTAAATTCGATCTGAAAGATCTCAACTGGATTAATTGTAGATCTATTCTTGAGCGAGATATAACCTCGCAACTAATTTGGTCTCAAATCTTACTCCTTCTGAAGTCTATGATCGATTTGTTGGCTCCATTAGAAGATGTATTCTAGACTCTGGCGCCATCATTCCATCTGGTACCTCCCTTCCAATACGTGCTAAACCGCTTTGGTGGAATGCAGAATGTGACAGGGCTTTGAAATCCAAAAGAGAAAATTACAGGAGGTACCAAGCAAACCAATCTTTGCAAAACAGGATGGAATTCAAGAAGCGAGATAACGACTTAAAGTTGATCTTTCGACTTCAAAAGACACAGGCCTTTAAAGACTTTTACAACGAGATTTCCCCATCTAGGGGTACTTCCACCCTTTGGCGAACCATCAGAGCTCTCTCTTCTAGATCTAATCAGCTCTACACTAATATAGCAACCGACTCTTCAAATCCTGAACTCATAAAATACAAAGATGACCTTATAAGAGAGGATTTACCACCAATAAACATCTTTCTTGCCTACTCTATCTCAATTTAATAATGAAGAATTTACCTCTTTCTCAATGAATGAGTTTAGGTCTGCCCTACATCTCAAAACCGGTCGGTAAAGGTTATAGGCCGATCGCTCTTAGCTCAGTTTTCTCAAAATTATTTTAGAAACTTATTCAGCGTAGACTGGATCACGAGGTGGAGGCGAAATGCCTTATTTCCAAATATCAATTTGTGTTTCGTAAAGAACGCTCTTCACTTGATTGTGGTCCACCTTTGTTGAAGATATTCTGAATGGTTTTGCGGACTTCTCACACACACTTGCACATATCTGTAAACATCAAGGGTGCGTTTAATAACGTCCGCCACTCGATTTTAAACAAAATTTTAATTAGACTCGAAATCCAAACCTAACTTAAATAAATTTTATCTCATTTATTACCTGTAAAACATGTATCTCTTTAACCCCGGATGGTTCTGATGGTAGACATTACAGAATTGGAGTTCCTCAGGGAGCTGTTCTCTCTCCTCTTCTCTTTAACCTATACTTACACAAGATAGGACAAATTCTAAATGCCAATATGAAATTTACTATGAATGCTGACGACCTACTTATTCATCTCAAATTCAAGAATCCTGCTAACATGTCGGAGGAGGTCTCCCTCGCCCTGAATAAATTGTGCACATGGCTTAGAGAATTGGGGATGGAGGTAACACCTAACATATCCTGTTGTTGCGTCTTCTTGAGATCTCGAATCTCTTTCCAGAACTTGAGAATTTATAAAAAAAATACTTCTATTAGATGTGAGGCTACTATGAAATACCTAGGCATCATCCTTGACAGAAAACTCACATGGCTCCCCCACATTAAACAAATTGATAACTGAGCCATTCGATCTCTTGCCAACTTGAAGATTGTATCTTGGGTTTCTTGGGGAATATCCCAGATTCTTTCTCTAATGAGTGCGGTGCTCTATTATTTGCCGACTCCGCTCCACCATTCTTAAAATTTAAGATTCAGAAGAATCTTTATAACCAACTCTTTTCTGTTTAAGAATTATAGATCCTTTCATCCCTAAATTGCAACACCTGAGTGAGAAGCCTCAATGTCCCCGCTTTCGCCTGAATAAAGGCAGACTATCAGTCTTGAATGCGTATGAAAGCACTATTCCTATTATAGAAGGCCCACATAGAACAAATCGGCCATCTTACTTCGTAATACCGTGGAGTTCACTCGCTGGTTCTCCTATCTGTGACCTCTTGTCCGGATATGCTCTCAAAGATCACCTTCAACCAAACAATCAATTCAGGTCTCTTATCAGAGAAAACTATTAAAGCCCTCTCATTATTTTTACGATGCATCTTATGATAGGAAAAGGGGCTTGTCAGCCCCGGCTTTTTACGTGTAGTCCTCCAACTATTCGGTGAGTATCCCCCTCCAATTTGGACCATCTATCTTAACAGCCGAGCTCTATTACATATTTAGATTTTTGGCCAAAACTCCACCATTTCAAAAATATGCAACATCTTAAATTCATGAGATATATTCTTATAGTTTTTTCAGTTGCTGATTCAAAATTTAAAGTCAGATTTTCAAAAAACAAAATGACGGATCCAATATGTCAACCAAAAAATGTAAAAATTGACCATATTCTCTTGAAAATTGTTACTTCATTAACAAAATGTGTATTTTGCAAAAAATGTCTTAACCAGGATTAATTTTTTTTTATTTTTTTACATTTCTTTTTTATTTTCAAATCGTCGAACAATGTGAGGTATGGAAATTAAAAATAACATTTTTATTTATTACAGCTTTGAAAATTTAACGTATCATAATTTGACATTATTTCACAGTCGGTTTTATTTTGAGTCACTT